ATGAAATAAATATTAATTGGAAATATCGAGTGACGTCACAAACCACAACATTTTGTACCACTTGTAACGTAACCACCTCCCATTCCTAAACTTAACAATATTTAGGACAACTGACGGATTAACTCGTCGAGTACCGGTTTTGTAGACACAATTATAGAACAATAGGTTGCGGTCACCGGTGACCGCTTGGTGTTTGACAGTTTAATTAGATTTTTAACTTTCATACCCCGGCAACTACCTTGTTCTGCTCTGTCAGCTCAAATTCTAACATCAGATGAGATAAAATGCATTCAATAATAATGTGGTACATACGTTCTATATATGGCTTGTAGTACTTTATAGAGGTCCCCATTTGACCATATAAGGGGACCCTTAACTTTCTCCGTTTAGGTGCAGGTTCTAAATGTTGGTTTCGTAATAGAGAGGCCTATTAAATTGGTTTATGTTTCCTAACTTTATAGTATTACGGTTTGATGTTATGGGAGTGGATTATTGAGATGAATGATAGAAGCTTTACAGTCTGATTAGGTGATTAAAGAGAAATTGTTAAGTTTTCTTTTGGTTTTTGTAATGGGTGTGGGTTTTTGTAAAAACGTTGCCTCATATTAGGACTTTCCTCTATGTCGTAGATACATTTATAAATATAGAAATTTGTATGCACATCATATTCAAGTCCAAAATAACAATTTATAGATTACTCATTAAGTAGTTATTAGACTTATTACGTGCGAAAATGGAATCTACGACGCGTTGCATAGTAGCTGATTGGTCAGCCACTACACAAACATATGTCAACGTTGTTGCAATGGTTATATAATTGTACACACACAACTGTAAGTTTTAAAGACTTCTGTTCAACGATCAAATCAGAAAACAAAGATTATAGTCATTTTCGATGCACTGTGTTTAAAAACGCATCCACGGTCAAGAATCCTGTAACGGAATAAAATTTCAATACAAAACACACTACTTACTTGTGTAGTCATATTAATACAGCAGATAAGCATTCCCCCGCAGAATGAGGCTGCGGATATCATGTGCACACTGGTGGACAATGCAGTAGCGAGCCACGCCAGGGTGTAAGGTAAGGCGGTAGCTATGAGCACGGTGCGACGGCCCAGACGCATCGCAAACCCACCCATGATGCCGCCGATGAAAGCACCTGGAACAAAATGACAATTTGGTCAGACATATTTAATAGCAACATGACTTCTGCTTTCCGATAATAGGAGGACGATCGACAATGAGGATTCGCTTGTGGAGGCTCGGCTACAAAGCCTTGAACACAGGCGTAAAGCCTTTCGGTTTTCTATCGGATACATTTCGGTGAGTGTGTGTGGGAATTGGACAAACTTATTCCCCCTAGTCCATTTCACCACCGTACCACCAGACGAACGGCGGGGCGCCACCCTTATATGGTGGACACTCCACCCATTCGCACGAAGCGTTTCGCGTCAAGCTTTCTCATGCGAACCGCTAAGGAATGGAATCCCTTGCCAGAGGCTGTGTTTCCCGTCAAATATAACTTGGGTGTCTTCAAGTCCCGAGTGAACAGGTTGCTCATAGGTAGGCGTGCTCCATCGTCGGCCACATCATCGCTTACCATCAGGCGAGATGGTGGTAAAACGATGACCTAAAAAGTATAAAAAAAAGGAAGAGTCGTGCATTCACAACGTAATTTGCGACATTTACGATTAGAGGTGCATTAATAGGGTGAACTAGACATAATACCGGGTTCGCTCTTAATAAAAATTATGTATCTTTGAAAATCTCAAGATTTCTGTGCCTGTCCTAGAAAGTCGCACTCCTTGCTCTGTATCCATAGGAATACAGTACAACAATAACATCCCGAAGAAGTGTAGACCTAACTGCAAACGTGAAATGTTAATAAACAATTTGTACCATTTATGTTATGAGTCCTGCCGACGTTACTTTCCCACGATAAAGAAGAATGGTAGCAATACAGTGTGGGAGAGCCATACTTCGGCACGAATGGGCCCCGGCTCGACCGGAGCGATACCACGGCCTCACAGAAAACCGACGTGAAGCACCGCTTGTGTTGTGTTTCATCGTGGGAGTGAGGTTACCGGAGGCCCAATTACTCTCCCCTTCCCCAATCTCCCCAATCCCTGAATCCCCAACGATCCTCAAACTCCTAATCCCTAAAATGCCGGTAACGCACTTGTAACGCCTCTGGTGTTCCAGGTGTCCATGGGCGACGCCGATTGCTTACCTACCATCAGGTGATCCGTCTGCTCGTTTACCGGTTTATGACATAAAAAAAATACAATTCATTCGTATCAAAATCAAAGACAGATAGATCTCTGTAACAAAATGTCACAACATTGCAACTCCAATGAGATTTAAATTCAAATCTGTTTGGGTTCAAAAAAGTATTGTTTCCGAGAAAAAGGGTCAAAGTCGTTCTCTTTGACAACGATGTAATATCTGAATATTGTAGGGTCACAGGACATTCTTGTTTTATTTGATTTTCCGTTTGTTGCTGACGCTTTTTGTTTTCGATTTTTTTTTACTTGAATTTTATTCGCAGATAACCTAACGGGTTACCGGGGCTCCGGCTCGAAGCGCAGGAGAAGGAACGGGATGGTTTTTAGTCAGTAAGAGTCTGACACTTCCTCCCGCCTCACCCAGGCGGGAGCAGTCATTCGATGATTTTCCCCCAGATGATGAAAAAAAAATTCTTGGATTTTCTCCTGTACATGCTGTGGATCACACAAAGAGTCTGTATAGGAATCGAACCCGCGACACGTTGCGCGGCAGCCGGTTGCCCAGCCAGTAGAAGTCAAAGTTGAAAGTCAAAGTCAAAAGATTGGTTGACTTTTTCACCTGATTTGAAAACATTTTGATGAAGTCTGAGACAGAGGGACCATTAATTGTATATTGAGGATTCTTTTGTATGATTATAATTTAATTTCTTGTAAGGGCTGATAACTTTAAATATTTGACAATTCTTCCATAAGAATTGTCAAATATTTAAAGTCAGTTTTAAGTTGTCAATTTTATTCTACAGGTATGAATTATTTGTTGATTGATAAATCGACCCTCACACAATTCCTTAACAGATAACCATTTACTCGATTTTATAATGTAAAATACTTAGGTGCTTGTGGTTTCTCAAGATAGAAGTATTGTACTTTTCACCTAAAAATATAGATTGTTTATGACGCCACGACCCAGAAAACTCAGGTTCCTATCGATACTTATCTATAGGCTCCAATGCCATTCATCCACATCAAGGTGCGCGTTACGGGCGTAGGCAAAAGTGATTTATTCCTGATCTCTCCCTTCATTAGCGACTAGCGGACTGATATACATCTCGACACGGCAAATTACACTCTAAGACAACACGCGTAAGTGTGTTTTTAATACAAGCATTTGTATTCGTTACCAAGTAGGGTAGATTTAAGTGAAATGAGAACAAAATCTTTAAGTAGGTATAACTAAAGGAAAATCTCAAACAGTTCAATACGGTAAACAAGTGAAACAAGTGAAACAAGTGAATTTATTTCTGCAAATAGGCTACAAGGCAGCACTTTTACACGTCACTTTTATCAAGCGAACGATGAGGTCGACATTTCCTAACTGACTACTCTGAGAAGAAATGCCGAAACAAACTCAGAGGTCTGTCTCTTTTAAAGTCCAGACAATATGTATAACATATTATGTGTGAGAAGAGGAGAAGAGGTAGATGACAACTAGTCAAATTCAATACATTTATCGAAACGTCAAAAATGACACTGTGTCATCTTATGACGTCATCATATTTTCGCGTCAAATAGCACACTTATATCTAAAAAAATGCTAGAATAAATCGAAAATTAAGTATATATCGGCAAATCAATAAATGAAAGTGTAATATTCAATATTTAAACTGTCAAACACCGAGCGGTCACCGGTGACCGCAACCTATTGTTCTATAATTGTGTCTATAATGACGGTACTCGACGAGTTAATTGGACTGATAAATTAAAATAAATTTAGTTTTGACCCAGGAAACTACACAAATTGTTAGCTGTTATACTTAAGGATGAATTTTATCTTTTTGATAATAAGCGTCTGTTAGCTTATTCTGCGGTAAATTTGACAAATCTTCCATGAACAGTCAAAGTATATATATCAAACTATACTCCGTTTTTGTTTAATTTACCATATTTACAATAAATATAGGATTATCCATTCAGGATAGCAACCAAAACCACTAAGGTTTAAACTTGTGCTATCATGAATCAATTTCAAAATCGAAGTTTTACAAATATTATATCCGTTAATGTAAACAATAATATAAGCAACTCAATATAAACGGTCTTTGTATAAACAAACACATTCCTAATAATGTAATATTGTTTTATCCTAATTATGTAATTTTAGTTATACTCAACTGCCTCGTTGGCCGAATGGCCGCAAGTGCGACTTGCCCGGCAAGGGGTCTCGGGTCCAATTCCCGGTTCGGTCAAAGTATTAATGAGGCTTTAAAAATGAAACCGATTTAAAAAATTCTTACACCTCTGGAAAGTTTATTTTTCATGGAGTAAATATAAACTTTTTGTTGAGACATTACTACAGCATCGAGACCTACTCGAGAAAAACGAAGGCGGAAAACTTGGTATTACATAACACAGTACATAAGTCTCCTTAGACATCATCATCTTCATCACCAACAGCCTATAAATGCGCACTGCTTAGCAAAGCCTCTTCTCACACGGAGAAGGTTTGAGCATTAATCACCACGCTTTCTCATTGCGGGTTGGCAATTTAAAATTTACAATTAGAAATTGTTTGTGTGATTCCTTCACCGTTTGTCAGTGGTGTCTAAATAATCTTAGAAAGTACATATAACTCGGAAAAAGTCACATTGGTAGTTGCCGTTGGTAGGTTTCGAACACTTCGAACCCTCATGCATGAGACGCGGGCGTTTTGACTTCTAAGCCACTTAGTCTCCTTAGTTATTTCAATAGGTAATATATTTAAAATTATTTTACAGTACTTGTGTAGCAATGAAAATATTATGAGAGCGTACACTGGCACAGCTGTAAAGCATAACACGGTGTATGCTATTCATAACATACTTTTGTTTTGAGTTTTTTTCATAAACTACATGTGCTGCAGTTTAACCTTGCTCGATTACAATGGATGTCTTAAATGTATTATATTATACTAGTACCAGTAGATCGGTAGCAACAAGGCTCATGGTTTGATCAGTGATCGCTACTGATGCATGAAAATGAAAATGAAATGAAAATGATAATATTTATTTGTAAACATAGGTACAATGGGATGTAACATTTCATGGTATAATATTAACCATCTATGTTTTGTGATATGTCACATACAAATTAGGTTAAAAATTTAAGTATTTAATGAAGTCATTAATTATAATTTCATTCGAAATTATTACAATAGTCACGAATGTATATAAAAATAAAGATAATGTCCTTGATGAAAATTTTAAATATTAATCATTAGTGGATGTCAAGATGAACGTGAAACAGTACATTTTTTTTAAGTCATATTACCTAGTCAGTGGGTACAACATACTAAAAGTTTTACTGATAATTTCGTTGTTCCTATATAAATCAAAACAAATGCCACCAATGCAAATCGGATCCAGCATCATGTGTACTACTGAAGTAACTCATTGCACTCACTCCGTCATTATAGACACAATTAAAGAACAATAGGTTGCGGTCACCGGTGACCGCTTGGTGTTTGACAGTTTAATAAAATATAACACTGGCTGCTTTACAGTTTTCAGTTTTGAAAAATTCTGCCAGGTGGCACTATATGTTTTTGTTTCGTTGCGTTGTTGTTCTTACCATTTATAAAAGTATGTGCAAGTAAATAATTATTTACAAGAATACAATCTTTTATTAGAATTCCTAGCCCCTAACTCAATATGTACGTTAAGGACTATGTCCACGTCACGTCATTTGACGAATGCATGCATCCTTCACAAACAATAGGCAGGTTTAACGTTTCTGTCTTCATAACGTTCTTGGATTTCGAGTTTTCATTATTTCTAAGCAAGATGCAAGCATTTATCATTTGTAGACTGGTCTATTGTTTGTGAAGAATGCATGCATTCGTCAAATGACATAACATGGACAGAGTCCTTAACCTACTCATGATGCCTCTGTGTCCCAT